TCCTGGTCCTTGGCGCTCTCTTTCCATCTCCCCCCCTCCTTCTCCTCTTTCATGCCAAACGCCACGAGGTCCTCTCCTAGGCGATACACCCAGTCGCTCTCCTGCCCGCCCCGGTATCCGGTACCCCCCGCCATCGCTCCCAGCGTGTGTGTGTTTTTGTCCAATTTATTATGGCGACAGTCCCCCCTTTTTTCGTGGTGAGACGTGTAAATACACTTTTTAGCGTATGTACGTAGAGTACTACTACACTTTTCAGTGTACTTTTTCGTGCAACTACAACCTTCCAGGGACACATAGGAGGGGGTAAACACCAGGGCGTTTTTCTTCTTTTAATTTATTTTCATCATGCCTCACCTTCCTCCTGCGGTGCGTTCTGATTTTTTTTTTATCGCGAGAACGGTCCAGCCGTCCCATTCCCTCGTCAACGGTGCTAACGTCGAAGTTTGGCACTCACGAAAGCTTCTTTCCTATATTTCGCTTTCACCCGCAGATTTCGTATAATTTTCACCCGATGAGAATTCGAACTCACGACCTCTCTCTGCGACTAGCGGATTACGAGGATCCCACTAGACCACCGGGGCGACCGGTGTGTTGTTGTTGTTGTTTTACTTCATATTAAACTGGTGTCAGTGGCTAATCCCAAAATCTAGCAAAGACTTGGTCCGTGGTCACAAAAATGCTAAGAGTCATCAGAAGATCTAAAGAACACACACACTATTAGCAAGAAAAGGCTACGCAAGCCCGAGGAGGTACACCTGCAATCCCTGCAGCACGTTTGCATGCTCACAACTGAACTACACGCCCACACACTACAAATCGACTACAGCAGCAGCATCACCCCCCTTGTCCCGCATTTAACCAAAATGAATGTATGTCGACTACAGCGTACTGCTGTCTGAAGTGCTGTATGTACAAAAATAACACCATGGTGCATGATGCACAAGCTCGGGGCATGCCGCTGCTGTCTGAAGTGCTGTCCGAATGAGTCCGTGGACATATCTACATACAATGCAGAAGAACACCCAACCAAAGCCATCATTGCAATTGACAATAATAATCCGAATCTATCTAGATCATCTGTGTTAGGCACAGCAGTATAAACATCGACACTGACTAGGAATCGTTCCACATTGAAGGGGTCTTCCACGATGCAGGTACACAAATAAGGCACCCGGGTTATCCGCGCCATCTCTGCCGCGTCTCTCTGCAAAACCAGTGACGTCATCGCACACACCCAACACCTGTAAAGGAAAAAACGGAGAAATAATTGACAACACAAGAGATGTTTGTCCGTGCGCCACGGTTCGATGCCGTCCGCCTGCTCCGGTGCCGCTGCTCCGGTGCCGCTGTGGCCAGTCCTAGCAC